ATTTTTTTTTTTCAAATGAAAGTTTTAAAAGCAATGGCTTGATGGATAACGAATTATTGTATCATTATTCAAAACTCAGTGACAATTAATTTTGACATCTTTTATACCTAAGTATCAACGATGGATGCACATTTTTATATGCACAAATAATTCTACTGTTTTACTTGTCGAAATTCCTCGTAACATATAAACTGTGCACTTTTATCCAGCCTTAATTCCGTAGTAAACACCCTAAGAATTCTGTCGAATAGCCAAGTGTATACAAGTATGATTGGTTAACCTCTCTCCGTACGATGATGGTATAAAATAGAGCAAACGAAATGAGAATGTTGAGTGTATTCTGATAGTGCTTTGATGTATAGATAGGCAGCAGTGAAACTTCTACCAACATACTCAAAGTTCGAGTATTTTGTTTGTCACATAAACATTTGTATGCTCTTGTTTCATGAACAATAATTTGTTGAATGATGCACATCTCACCTGTTAACATAACTGTTTATGCATAATGTTTCGATTTTTATCAGTCGTACGCCAAGTTTCTTCGCATTTCATTAGGACAGTATCTCAGGAGAATTGGAAAAAAACTCGACGGACGGTTTTCTCTTTCTATATCTTTATTTTCTTTGAGTTCATGTTTCTCATGATTCACACAGGAATCTACTTTTAGCTTCTTAGAACAATTTATTGCGTTATAAACATACTTCATTGAACGTTTATTCTCCATCATAATCAATAAAACATATGTCGCATGTCAGTATTACAGCGAATCAGAAACGTTGTATTTTTATGGATTAAACCTTGAATAAGATCAGATTCGTTAATAAATTCACTCATCATCAACAGACACAGTTTATGAATAATCTTGTCATTATCAACATCATATATATTCCGTCTTCTTAGAATATGTGTCCATGTCTTATTTTTGGTCATACAAGATGTTTCCTGATGGTCATTAGTGGACGTTTTTATAAGATCATGCTTTAGTGACTCTTCGTGTCACAATATGCACAGATTTATACCTACAATATACACTGCTCATATCCTGTTTATTTTCATTCATTCAAAAGTTAGTTTGAAGAAAGAGAATTGGCTTAAATAATTTTGAACTGCAAAATGAACAAAATTTTCAAAAACAGACGGAAATCAAGGTGTAGATGTGTCATCAGACTCCTGTTATTTCGGTTTAATGATCACTCAATGTTGTATTTTCATTGGATGACCAATAGATTTTATTTGAAAATCAGGACACAGTAGTCATATCACTTTACGAATCAGACCGATGTACGTTTTTTTCCCGCGGATCTTGACTTTTAGCTGTTTGTTTCACTTTAAAATCATGGTGGATAATGACATTTTAAACCCATATTTCAGCTGAACATTTAATGCTCACATTGCAATAAAAACTGTTTACTTACAATTTTTCATTAGCTAATAAAACATCAAATTAGGTTTTGAAATTATCGAAGAGCTAAAGACTCCTGTATTGTAGATTAGTCATCATGTTGCCATAATGTTTTACTTTGAAGTAGGCCGAAATTAAACCAGCGTCAAAACTGTAGTTAGGCAATTTAGTGAACATACTCATCATCCTTCGAACAGATTTTTGTATTGCCTACTGTCTCGATAATTTCATTCTTTCTTATGATATCAGTTAATTCCTCGCTTACATTCACTAATCTTCTTATAAGCAATGGTCACCGCAATTATATCGTATCATCATCATACCGTCATCATCAGAGATTAATAAGTATGTTTGCAATACAGTGAGCTTTGAGCTACTTCAACGTCAATATATTGAAAATAAAGACGTCTCTTAAGCAGTAAGTCTCAATATACGAAAGGTAACAAGTGAAAGTCAACGAAACACTAGAGCCGGCATAAACCAAATATAAAGCCCGGGATATCTTTGGAAGACGATTGAATAATATCTGGAACTCAAAACAACTAACAGCAATTACTAAGGTCAAAATGTTCAGTATATGCATCAAGATGTTTACTAGTACTAACTATTGATCATCTGTTTATATAAACTAATTTATAACTCTTCTAGTTGTAATATCATAACTTTTTCATTGCGTAGTGTTTAACCTAAAGAATGTTCAACTGCATAATTCTTAATTTTTGAAGACATATTTTATTGAAAAGGAAAAATTAAATCAGAGTCTTTATTTTACGTTTATTAATTGAAAGCAAAATAAAAAGTACAGTCACTATACTATCGTCAACCCTTGAAATACTACTAAAATGAAAACATTCAATAAACTTTTAATTAATGGTGTAGTACATAAGACAATGAAAAGTCACAAGAAAAATCAAATTTAACTAGTGCTCACACATCAACCTTGACTGTACGCATATTTCAAGCGAAAGTTCATCCAGACTATACGGCTGGTTATTATCAGTCTTCCAGTCATGTTTCTGTGGAACTTTTGACTAAACTCCATCAACAGTGAACAAATGACAGAGGAAATCGTAGCCTTATGAGGATTTGAAAAGAACGCTGCTTGAAAATTGAATATAAATTGCGAGAATCATTAAATCCTCAAACAGAAAATCTGAGCATTAAGTACACTGCACTGATAATGAACAAAACGCAGCTGGAAAGTGAAATGCGACTTTGTTGAAACGAAAAGAAGGATCGTGGAGAAAGAAACTTGGAGAATGCTGGTCGGTGACTTATCATTCGTCAACGATATTAGGCAGTAGTATGTTAGTAGGAATGCAATTAATTTATACAAATTATTTTAATATAAAAATGTACACGAATCGTAGAAATCAATTCAACTTCAGATGCTAAATTCCAGTTTTTCTATTTATTTATAAGAAACGTAAACTGACACTATTATTTCGGCGTATCATTATGGGTTGCTAAAAACAAGACAACTAATGAAACTCTCGGAAAATTCGTAAGAGCTAAGCTTAAGCTTTTAACTTTTCTGACAGATAGATCTCTCGAAATGTTTTTCGTTGTCATAATATCAAAATTACACATAAGAATAATCTTGTATCATCGTTAATGTTACAGTTTATTAGGAAATTAAAAATATGTAAATTTTTTTTTTTATGTAATGAATAATGAAATGATGTGTTTATATTTCGTGTCAGTTCAATTGTTTATGTTGAAGTTGCGTTTTATTGAGTATCATTCTTGTCTGTAATGAGAAAGCGACAAATATATGTTTCAAAAGAATCAAAATTCACTGTTAATTAACAACAATTGAAGTTACAGTTACAAATGTATTTCAATAGAATCAATCAATGGTTTTTTTTTCATTCCAATGAAAATTTACGCTCCGCAAACTAAAAATAATACTTTTTTCATATTTACAAATCAACGGGTATATTTAGGATTATTTACTCGATCAAGCAATTAATTTCTTTCGATTTGTCCATTATTCTGCGATTCATAATTTTTAAGATTGCGTTCATGAATATTTTTTCAACCAGTACAATCAATCAACGTCTGAAATTAGTGAATGGCTGTTTATTTCGTCACATGGGACTTTTCAGCAATGAGCAGTCATATATCATTATTCTTCAAATTTTTAATGAAAAATTACAGTATTCTACAAAAACTGTATTTTTAATATAATTGCATTGTTCACTAACTATCATTATGTTTATTGAGGCACTTTTCATTTGCTCTGAAATAACTATTAAATAAATCAAAAATAAGATTTGAATAAATTTATTCATGTTAAAAATAATAATCAATCTAGGTCAATTAGTCACATGTTCATTATCAGGCGAGTAAAACAAAATGATATTTTTTCAATATCGTGAAAGGATCATTTACTAAGTAGAAGTCTAATGGTATCAGAATGTTGGCAACTGGAACAACGATTATTGAAATATTCTCCATGAGTATCATCAATTCTCTTACTTTTAACAGGATCGATTCCTTCAGAAACATCTTTTATGATCAGATATGTAACTAAAAAAATTTGAGGGAAAACGTTCACTTTGAATTACTTCAAGTTGAATTAAATAATTCATTTTAGTTAATAATTCATTAGTTTCAAGTAATAAGAAGCATAATGATATTTCTATGACCATAAAGTAACGAACGCTAGTAAGTCTATTGTAACTGAGTAGTGGTTGTGGAGCTTTTTTTCATTCGTACGAGCTACAGTATCGGTACAAAATATACATATTATTGAAGTATTTCTATTCTTGTACATTCACTTGACCGCTTGTCTTGTTTACCTCAATTAGGATTGGTTGATCTGATTCCTGATCACTGATGAATATATATTTAAAATAATTATTCACAAAATGTCAACCTTAATCAATAATAAGAGATACATCTTGAAAGGGAGAATTTAAAGAAATTCAAATTCTTCACTTCTAATGCTGGTTTGTGATGACAATAATTTGTACGTTAATCAGGAAAACTACACAAACGAAACCTCATTAGAATGATGCTATTTCCTTGTAGGTTTTCATCCCTTATCATCTTAAGAAATTGGTATATGGAATAGAATAATTCTTTCAAAAATCTTACTTACTATGGTAATAATTTATACGTGCGATTGTTTTAAATTTGTCAACTAAGTGCGCATTCAGCATTTTTATACCTAAGATATAATATAAAAACAAAGTGAAATATCAAAATTCTGTATGTTTTTGTTTTAGACATTGAGTCCTTTTATTCCAGTAAATAAAATAGTTTCACTCTTTAATAAGTGCTTTTCAAAACTGAATCTCTGTGAATTGAGAAAAAAGAAACTAAAGCGTCCAGCTACCATGTTTTTAAAATGCTCAGAGTTTTTGTTTATGTATTGAAAAGCTTAACTTGTGTTATTCTTATACATTGAGTAGGTCATAGTTGTTCGATTGATTCAGTGTACTTACCATTGTCATTTCGCATTTCTAATATTTTAAATAAAACAATGTTCAATGTATCGATTGTGAATAATTACACAGAAAAAGATTACATAGAATAATTTTTATCACTGTAAGTCATAATAACACAATGTCTATAAAATATTTTATATGTTGGAAGAAAACATTACTCATTGGCAATTTATTTTCAAGTTTATGACATCTTTCGTAAGGATATTGATTTTCAATTTCTTTTCAGAATGAAGAAATGATAGAAAAAAGTTTGAGATTGATTAACGTTGTTATTCATGATTGTGATTAATTTGAAACAACTATGTTTAATTAAAAAAAAAATCATGTACCTTTCCGAAGTTCCTCATTTTTCAATAAACATGATCTCCATAATTCAAACTTTGTGAGATCTGAATCTAATAAACATAAAGACAAAAGTTGTACATTATCACCATTGGATGCTGAATAATACTGTTTTGCATAAATGTGCGAGCCTAGGGATTCAAAATATACTCGTGGCTAGCAACGATCATGGATGTACACGAGCAACGTGTCACTCATTAAGACTGATCAGCTGAATTTACATAGAATGATTTGTCAGTTCAATGAGTAAACTGGATGTCCAGTTAAATTTGTGTAATCATTTCACTGATAAAGCATTTTACAATTATGTAAGGATTATTCATTTCTGTAATTATTTTCTAATGAATAATTTTTAAATTATGATTTGGAAAAGCTAAGTTTTGTGGTAATTACTAATTTTGATACCTACAATTGTATTTCACCACCCCAATGAACATTTCTAATTCTAAAATATTTAAGAAAAATAAGGAATAATAAATCACATTGTGTAAATCAATGAATTTTCATTATTGCTTCACTGTGAAAAACTAAAAACAACCAAATCATGTTAAGAATAATTCATAGTAAAATTCTTTCAAGTCTTTTCCAGTTGTTGAGCATTTGTCGAAAACTAAAATGCTATGCTATTAATGTATGGTAATGAAACATAGTAACTGCACATGGCTTCATTTAAACAGCATCTTCAATACACATTTACTAGTTAGAATTAGGAGTAAGGTCAGCAAATATCGATTACATCACACATTGAACAAAAGGGGAATACGTAACGGAGACAATCATTCTAACATAACAAAGCTGGTATGGTTTAAAAATGAGGGTGATGTTCATTTGCTTTGGTATTAAAGATAGGTTGATGCGTTTTCATGAATGCTGTTAATTGTGACAGTCTTATTAATGTTTTTTAATACGTATTGGGAAAAATAAACTGATCCGAATAATTTAGTTGACCTTAGAAAAATTATTATCGACATGTTTCAGGTCAAAGTTAACATTGTTTATTAATGAAAAAAAAGTATATCAAAATTTAAATTTTTATATAAAAACTTTTGTTTTCCTAACTTTTAGTAGCCCATTTTTTTAGGTGAGATTCTGCAAATTTGTGCGCACATTCTATGTCTAGAAATAACAGTGTGATAAGGATGAAAACTGATTATTTTTCACCTACATTCAAAAAGTGTTTTGTTATGTTGTTCAGTCTGCTGAATAAGTTGACCTAAAACAAAGTGTTTGAATAAAAGATTATATTCTACACTAATTTGATTTTCATTAAAGATTACAAATATCATTCAGATTAAAATAGTAAAATCTACTAAACGTGGATTTCACTTGTTATGAGGAAGGTTGCTTATGAACTGCCAAGACGCTTTACATATATGTGTATTTTGCTGAATAATCAGAACAGTGTTATTATAAGATTTCAAATCCTATTCCGCTTGCATTACCTGATATCTGTTTAACAGTTCAATGATACCTCAATAATTTAAGTACTGTTAGTCAGAAATAACTGGCTACTTAAAGCTAACAAGAAGGTTATTTGTTTTGTTTCTTATTTATAAAACCTATTAAAAAATTGAGTCCACCGATATGATGACATTTTTTTTTCAGCTGCACAATTTGTCTCTCTAAGAATACATAGTCAAATAGTTTTTATTTTGCCTGAGACAAATATCCATCTTACGTGTGATCAACATTTAGATATGAATAAATATTATAAAATAATGAAATTACTTGTAGTGTTTTTCACTTTTTCATTATGTGCTTTGAATGCTTCGGTTTCATTTTGTAAGGTTTCTAAAATTTTGATTAATCATTAACGATTAATGTTGTTTTTCATTTAATTTTTATTGAAAGGACTTGCTGATTCTTACATTTCTATTAGTCATCAATTAAAACAACTGTATCACTAGAGGAACATCACCTCAGTAATAATGTATTCATTGAAATAATTGTTTACTGAATAATTCTTTTTCAATAAAATGTTTAAATCGATCAAAAAACACCAAGGTTTCACATGCTACAACGCTTGAAAGTCTTCCAATCCAAGGAACTTGTTGAAACGGTTTTAGTTTAAGTGAATAGTTTACTCTTTATTTCCTAATCGATAATATTGATGTAAACGTGATCTAGTCAGTTTATTTAGTGAAATATGTGATTCCTTCAAAACTAGTACAAAACTAATTTTGCAAATCCTGTTGCAATCCGAAATGGAAATGGTTTTCTAGAAAACAGTGAATAACACATTTTCTCGATTCATACAATAATAACATGTTTGTTTACCATCATTCTAGCTTTCGTGTTTGTGTAATTCAAATCTTAGTATGAACTTCTAGTTCAACGATTGCATCATGAATCGAACATGACAAATAAACCTTATGTGTACAGTGAGTATTTTATTGTGACAAGATTCTGTCGGAGACAAAAATTGATCAAATAGTGTTTAGGTGTAAGATTAGGTTTATATGTCAATATTAATTAAAGTCAATAATATATTTTATCAGTAATACGCATCACCTAATATTCGTTTCAGATTCGTTTCAAATTCATTGAAAAAAAAGATGTCAATTTGTGCTTTAACTAGATTTAAAATTAATAAAAATACATTTGAATCAGTTTACTACATCAAACAACATTCTAATTATTATATTTTAGAAAGTCAACTGTTAGAACTTTTCTGTTACAAATTAAATATGACCATGAACATTTTAGTCACTGAAATAATTTTCAAAAATTCGGTTATCAAGTGACAGTTCATAGACTGTTTTAACGAACTAACATGTAATCATTCGCAAATAGTTAATATTGGTACTTATGACAATATATATAATTATTAGGTAAATTGTGAAGTAAAACCAATAAGTTTTAATACACAGTTTAATGCATATACAACAATCGTTCGACCAAAAAGATTATGACTTACCATATTGTAGGGATGGATAGTCCAATGCAAAAACTACGTAAATGAAAACGAATTTTATAAGAAACATTTTCATTGAAATTACAGTCATTTTTCTTCTGTTTTTATATAACTAGTAAAAGCTGATGATGAGTCAACAATGACTTCAATAGAAATAATCTTATATGATTCGCTACTTAAAAGTCGTTCTAAAGCAAAAATAAAACCAGTCCGCATCAAATCATTCACAGATATTATTATTAGTAACAAAAATCGTTTCATTGGCTGGTTTGGCAGTAAAACAAAACTAACCTTGGAATGGCTAAATGACTAAAAAAAACAGAATATTCAGTCTGAGTCAAAATAAGAATAACAGTTCAGGATTCAGATATATGGTAGAAAAATCAGTAAGACTGAGTTAAAATGTGTTGCACAGTCATAAGAATATTCTCAAAATACACACTCTTATGAAAATCGTTGAATACATCAATCAATCAACTTTGTTTACAATGTCACTCACATAAGCTGCATAAACATAATCTTAGTCTCTTTTCTGTCAGTGATATGTACTGTTTTTTTATGTAAGCACCTTCATATTATCTAATGCAAGCATGAAAATCGCTAGGTATTCGAGTGTATAAGAGAAGTATTTGAATGAATAAAAAATTTATGAATGAGTGTTACTATGGACTTATTGTGTCAATTAGGGTGTATGTCGAAGTTTAATGCACGATAACCATTAGGCAACTGGATTTATAGCAGTAGGTATTCTCGATGCTGATTTATTTTTGTGATGAAGTAAAGTGTTTTTAATTTCTGTGATGATTCCTCACAGGTGGAGAGACTAAACTAAAGGTGTAGTATTCACTTGCAAATTGTACATTAAAAATATATGTAAATATGATTAAAAACTAGTCGTTGTGGGACTATGGCAAACAATAACAGAAATTATAACATTTGTATTCATTTGTAATGTGAAAAGAGGTCAAATATTATAAAAAAAAATTATAAAGTAGTAAAATTCTTGTTGGGTTTATGCGCTTATGAGTTGATATTGATTTGGTAATAGTATGGTTCAACTTTTTTAGATAAAATGGCTAGTAAATTTCATATGTAAACGTTAAATGAACGATATCACACTGTCAACGTCACTATTTTGTTTTGAATAATAACCTAAAGATCAATAATCAAAATAAAAATAATAATAATCAATATCTTACACATTCCACGATAGGTCGACAAGTTTACGTTCAATCTGAAGATTTTAGTTTATTACAGAAAAAATTTATAGATTGATGTTATGTTATTAAGCTTATTCTACTTACTTTCATCCGTAGAAATTTCGGCATTCTACCCTATGTCTAAAAACTTGTATCTCGAAGGAAATTGCCCATTATTAATCACAAACTATCACTACATATTTTTTATTTTTCGTGTTCACTCTATAGCAATTATATATCTCAGTTGAACAACCACATAACGGCCTATTCTTCAAAAGCTGCGATTATTATATCAATGATTTTACTAGAGATTTTCATTGATATCTAACTCTGACAACAACAAGTCGTTAAGATGACAAGTTAAAACAATACCGGTGTTTAAAAGTAGCTGGGGTTTTATGGACGAATATCGACCACTGAGATTAAGCTCCCCACATCACCATCGTAACATCAATCACTGCAAGGTATATACCATTTGAGCGGTTATCTATCATCGTTAATAGAAGCCAATCACAACTTTATTTCATGAAATGACTGCCACTGAAAATGACGATCAGCAAAAATTGTCAGTGAAAATTACTTCCATTTTAAAAAAGTACACCTAGTTGAATTAATTACTAACTAAACCTTAAAAGACAAATTTTGTGATCTTGAACACAACACATCATAAATGTTTCATCAAAACATTTGAAACCATTTCAACTAATCAGTCCGCTGAATTTAATAATACTAACTGTTAGTCTACAGGCGATCAATATGAAATGGTATTTGGTGGTTGACTGAAGATTTTTTATAAAAATATTAGAATAAGAGATTGGGAACTGTTCAGTAAATAATATTTTTTATTTAATAGGATTGAACAAGCATTTAAAGATCACTCATTTTAGTATTAAAAATAATATTAGGTGAACTTATTATATTTTCTCGCTTCCCTAGAAGTTATTGGTCGAAATTGAGTTGTCCAGAGAATTGTTTGTCATCATGCTGTTGAAGCAACACATAGTTTTGCTGATCAGTTAAAGAACAAATTAACATCATGGTCTTATACAGAGAGAAGAAAGTGTAAAACGTTTTCTTATCAAATAAAATGATGAACGACAAGAATCACAGAGAGAGACATGAGAATTATGATTGAAAAATTTCAACGGAGCAGCAAATGAAAGGCTTTCACCCATTCTGTTGGATACTGCTGATCGTCATTTAATTTATTTATGCGGGTTACAGGTGAAAGTAGCAATGTATTTAGGTATGTAACTCAGTAACAACTATACATATTTATTATGATAAATGAATATAACTATCACCATTAGGTAAGTTAGTTTCTTAGGCGTGGTCAAAATCCGATCATTACTGACTAAATCGGTTCAACGAATAATCAAATTTCACATTCATGCATATCATCTGGTGCTGACCTTTGCAACTATTACTGAAACTAATTTTGTTTGTCAGTTACCATTTTTACAATGCCGATGAATTATGGCAAGTTGCACCTTTGTTCATCTGTGCTACTACGTTGTGTATTGAGATGAAAAATGATTGACGAACGAATAGGATTTTCTTAATGAACGTTAGAAAGATAGCAGCTTTCATAGATGAAAAACACCGGATGAGCAGATGAGCTTAAACAAACAAATTATGTTGATGTAAAATGATTATTCACTCATTTGTACGAGATGTCCGAAACCTTGCAGAGGCTTAACATAGACATTAGACCGGTGATTGATCAATCGTTTTTCGCATATGCGTGGATTGACATGTTTAATTGTTGATTTCGAAGTAATTTGGAACAAGCGTTAAGTTTTATTTTGACGCTTTTGTCATCATTATGATCGATAACATACGAATTAGTTCGCTGTACGTTGATTTTAAACACCATGATGCTTTCACACCTCAGATGAAGGTTTATTATGGAGAACGTTTTCAAAATAGGTTGATACGGACCTTGTAGATCCTATTCTCAGCAGACGTCAACCTATGCTTCTGAATTTTTAATTGACTCTTTCTGGTGTATCCAAATGTTTTACTTAAGGAACGAGAATATAACTGTGCACTGAAGATATATATCTTATCAATCACACCTGCCATTTTCACAATAATAAACATTCACTTTAAAGAGACTTAATCGGCATTCATATTCGAAAATTCATACATAGGCAAATCAATTATTTTGCAT